ATTGGCTCACTGCGCAACCTCCTGCTCCCAGGTCAAGCAATCTTCCGCCTCATCCTCCCAAGCAGCTGGGATTACAGGTGTAAGACACACACCCAGCTAATATTGTTATTTTTAGTAAGACGGGTTTCTTTTTTTTTTTTTTGAGACGGGAGTCTCGCTCTGCCGCCCAGTCTGAGGCAGTGGCCGGATCTTCAGCTCACTGCAAGCTCCGCCTCCGGGTCCACGGCCATCCTCCTGCCCTCAGCTCCAGAGTAGTTCGGACTACAGGCGCACGCGCCACCGCGCCCGCTTTTTTTGTATTTTTTTTACTAGAGACGGTGGTTTCACCGTGTAGCCAGGATCCAGGATGGTCTCGATCTCCTGACCTCGTGATCCGCCCGTCTCGGCCTCCCAAAGTGCTGGGATTACAGGCTTGAGCCACCGCACCCAGCCAAAGACGGGGTTTCACCACGTTGGCCAGGCTGGACTCGAACTCCTGACCTCAAGTGATCCACCTGCCTAGGCCTCCCAAAGTGCTGGGATTACAGGTGTGAGCCACCACGTCTGGTTAGTTTAAAAAATAATTTTTAAAAGCTCCCATTCCATTCCTCAGCTATACGAGCCACAGTTCAAGGGCTCATTGGCTACAAGTGGCTGGTGGTTCCCATGTTGGACAATACAGGTTTAGAACATCCCATAGTTCTAGAAACTTCTATCAGACAAGGCTCTCTAGAGGGCAGAGTCGGATGATAGAACCAAAAAAGGAAGGAAGGAACAGTTCATTTGAAGGTGATAAGAATTATGGAGAAAAGGCCAAGTGCAGTGGCTCATGCCTATAATCCCAGCACTTTGGGAGGCTGAGGTGGGCAGATCACCTGAGGTCAGGAGTTCGAGACCAACCTGGCCAACATGGTGAAACCCTGTCTCTGCTAAAAATAAAAAAATTAGCTGGGCATGGTGATGGGTGCCTGTAGTCCAAGCTACTCAAGAGGCTGAGGCGGGAGAATCGCTTCAACCCGGGAGGCGGAGGTGGCAGTGAGCCGAGATCTCGCCACTGCATTCCAGCCTAGGTGACAGAGCGAGGCTGTGTCTCCAAAAAAAAAATTGTGGCTGCAGATGTGTTAGGTGTAGGTGCGTTGGTCTGGGGGTGACAGATGAGCAGAGACTGAAAGGAGTGAAGGGAGGTGCTGAACGTCAGGCACTGGCATGCTGGGTCCTGGGGACAGCACGTGCAAAGGACCTGTGGCAGGAATCCAGGAGCTGTCGGGAGACAGAGCAAGGAACAGGGACTTGGTGAGAGACACTTCCCTGTGTCCAGGGTGAATCCAGTCCCCTCGGGCAGTGCATCTGTCAGGTGGAGACTCTGCAGAAGGACAGGGGATGGTCTTCGGGCTTATTAAGATCCTAATGGGGCTGGGCACGGTTAGGCTCGAGCCTGTAATCCCACACTTTGGGAGGCCGAGGCGGGTAGATCACATGAGGTCAAGACTTCAAGACCAGCCTGACCAACATGGTGAAACCTCATCTCTACTGAAAATACAAAATTAACTAGGTGTGCTGGTGCATACCTATAATTCCAGCTACTCGGGAGGCTGAGGCAGGAGAATTGCTTGAACCCGAGAGGCAGAGGTTGCAGTGAGCTGGGATTGCGCCATTGCACTCCAGCCTGGGTAACAAGAGCGAGACTCTGTCTCAAAAAAAAAAAAAAAAATTTAAAAAAAAAAAAAAAGGATCCTAATGGGCTGGGGCAGAGGCCTTTCCTGCATCGACATCCAGACCTGGAAGTCTCACTATGGTGGTGATGTCCAAAGTGAGGGACAAGCTCATAGAGGATCTGGACACAGAGTGGCCCAGTCCTGTGAGAGTTGGGGGTCACAGAGGGTCAAAGGTCACCAAGATGAGGAAGGGCCAGCAAGGAACTTCCAAGGCCGGGCACAGTGGCTCACGCCTGTAATCCCAGCACTTTGGGAGGCCAAGGTGGGAGGATCTCTTGAGCCCAGGAGTTTTAGGCCATTCTGGGCAACATAGCCAGACCTAGTCTCTACTAAAAATTAAAAAAATTAGCCGGGTGTGGTGTTGGTCTCCTGTAGTCCCAGCTCCTCCGGGGGCTGAGGTGGGAGGATCACTTGAGCCTAGGAGTTTGAGGCTGCAGTGAGCCGGATCACAGCTGCACCCCAGTCTGTGCCACAGAGCAAGACCCTGTCTCAAAAGAAAAACTTACACGGAGCCCCCTGGGCCACATGGGGACACTGAGGCAGGGAAGATGAGGGTCCGGTTGGGGGGTGCACAGCTAAGTGGGGTTCAGTGAGGAAAGGGCATCCTGGGAAGGGGAGATGGGCAGGGCAGGCGAGCCAGGAAAGGTGGCTTTGGAGAGGCCCACGGGGAGCCTGAGGTATAGCCCAGGGACTCTGTGCTGGGGGCCTTAGTGCAGAGTGGAGGTCCCCTAATGTGAGCCGCCCTCTCCTCTCTACCTGCTGCTCCCCCAGGTACCACAATGTGGGCATCCTTGTGCTCTTCCTGCACGATATCAGTGACGTGCAGCTTGAGTTCACCAAGCTCAACATTTACTTCAAGTCCCGCGGTGGCTCCTACCACCGGCTGCATGCCCTGGCAGCAGACCTGGGCTGCCTCAGCTTCGGCTTCAGCTGGTGAGTGGCAAGGAGCCCTGGGAAGGGAGGGAGGTGTGGCCTGGTGAGGTGGGTGTGGTCAGAAAGGGGGCGGGACCAGGCAGGGAAGGAGACAGGGCCCGGTGAGGTGGGTGTGGCATGGCAAGGGAGGGGCTTTGTGATTTGGGTGGGGCTGTGAAGGGGCGGGGCTCTACAGGAAAGGAGTGGACAAGGGTGGGGCCAGTTGGGCTAGGAGTGGGGCTGGGCAGAAAAAGGGATGAAGCCAGGTGAGATGGGTGGATCCAGGAATGGGAGGGGCCTGGTGAGGTGGGTTGGGCCAGGCATGGAAGGGGAGGAGCTAGACTAATACAGAGCAAGCCAGGGGTGGGGCCAAGCAGGGTTGGGGTAGGGCTAGGCAGAGAAAGAGGTAGCGCTTTGGTGTGGTGGGCAAGATGTGGCAGAGAAATGGGGGCACTGTGCAGGGAAGGAGGTGGGGGCTTGGTGCAGTGGGCTGGGCCTGGCAAAGAAGGGGAGGGACTGGGCAGGAAAGGAGGTGGGGCCTTGGTGAGGTGGGTGGGGCCTGGCAGGTATGGGGAGGGATGGGGCAGGGAAGGAGGTGGGGCCTTGGCGAGGTGGGCGGGGCATGGCAGGGTAGGAGAAGGACAGAGCAGGAGATGAGACAGGTGGGCAGAGGTGGGCAAGGATGGGGAAAAGGGACAAGGATGGGTCCAGGACGGGACAGGACAGGCATTGGGTGGTCTCCTTCCACCCACGGCCTCCCGATTCCTCCCACCACAGGTTCTGGTTCCGCCTCTACTGGTTCCCGCTCAAGGTCCTGTACGCCACTTGTCACTGCAGTCTGCGCGCGGTGCCTGACATCCCCTTCTACTTCTTCTTCAATGCGCTCCTGCTGCTGCTCACCCTCATGAACCTCTACTGGTTCCTGGTGAGTCGTCCCCAGCCCTCCTCCACAGTGGCGGTCCCGTCCTTGTCCCCATCCCTGTCCCCTCCTCAGGCAGGTTCGGAGAGGGGCACGTTAGGTGGCAGACAACCTGTGTGGAGGGCCTGGGACAGGAGCACACGGCTGTCAGCAGGGCGGTGGCGAGGGAGGCTTCCTTCTCACCAGCACCTCCCCTCCCCTTTTGCAGTACATCGTGGCGTTTGCAGCCAAGGTGTTGACAGGCCAGGTGCGCGAGCTGAAGGACCTGCGGGAGTACGACGTGGCCGAGGCCCAAAGCCTGAAGCCCAGCAAAGCCGAGTGAGTGTGGAGGGGCCCGCACCCCACGTTCCCTCCTTTAGTGTCGCCTGTCCGAGCATGCTCATGGGCAGGCCCCCAAGACCCAGCAGCAGATGAGGCCGACGCGGATGCTGCCCCCCAAGCCTACTCCAAAACAGAGACTGCAATAAAGACGTGGACAATGTGGCCACTACCCTGAAGGATAGGACAGTGAGGAAGGGGAGGGAGAGGCTGGGGAGGGGCAGGCAGGGTCTCAGCAGTGGGGACACTGAGGGCCAGGCCTAGTGGCTGGTGTGGCTGCAGTGGACGAGCTGGGGCCCTGTGGGTGGTGAGAAGTAGCTGTTGGCCAGGCTGGACGACATCCTCCCACCCATGTCCCCACTGGAGCCGGTGGCAGTGGGGCTGGGGAGGAAGGAATGCCCAGGGCGGCAGAGGGAGCCCAGGCTCCATCTGGGCTGAGACGTCCTGGCCTCCGAGTCTGGCAGGGGAGCCCACTACCCAGCCAAACAGGAGCTGGGGCTGGGAGCTCGGACTCAGCCCAACCCAGGAGGGAGTCCTGGGGAAGGAGACAGCCCCAGGCCTGAGGCGGGCAGGCGGGCGCCTGGGCCAGGGATGAACGGAGGCCGAATTGGGTGACAAGCAGGGTCGGGGTGTGCAGTGTCTCAGGCAATGTGAGGAGTGTTTGAGCAGGGGCCAGGACAGGAGGTTGTGGAAGGCTCTGGAAGGTGCCGACCAGCCAGGCCCTCTGATTTGGCCAGTGGGGGCCATCAGTGATCTGGGAACGATGGTTTCAGGGAAGCAGTGGCTCAGAGCTCCGTGACGTTTTTTGCAATGGGAGGTGCGAGATGCAGACATTTAACACATCCGGGGCTGTAGCCAGGCAGAGGAGCCTCAGACCCCCCACCCTGTTTGGAAGGGAGAACCCACCAGATTCGCCTTGGGTGTAGATGAAACAGAAATAAAAGAATCAAAGATGACTCAAGACTTCAAGACTTTTGGCTCGAGCTGGTGTTGACTGAGTGGGACTGGGGCAGGGTCACATGGGATCTGGCAGATGCGGCATTAGGAGCCTCCTTTGGAGGGTGTTAGATTTACTGTCCTTTGAGCATGAGTCGAGAATTCTTTTTTTTTTTGAGATAAGGTCTCACTCTGTCGTCCAGGCTGGAGTGTGCAGTGGCACGATCTCGGCTCGCTGCAACCACTGCCTCCCCGACCCAAGAAGTGATCCTCCTGCCTCAGCCTCCCAAGTAGCTGGGACCACAGGCACGCACCACCACGCTGTGCTAAGTTTTGTATTTTTTACAGGGTTTCGCCATGTGGCTCAGGCTGGTCTCAAACACCTGGGCTCAAGCGATCCACATGCCTTAGCTTCCCAAAGCTGCTGTGATGACAGGCATGAGCCACTGCAGCCGGCCTGAGTCGGGAATTTTCCAGAGATCAGCAAGGTCTCCCCAAGGTGTCTTCCAAAGGTGGTGATGGCTGACCTCAAGTGATCCACCTGCCTCAGCCTTCCAAAGTGTTTGGATTACAGGCGTGAGCCACTGCACCCAGCCTGTTTCTTTCTTTTTCTTTTGTTTTTTTTTGTTGTTGTTGTTTGTTTGTTTAGAGACAGGGTTCCACTCTGTCGCCCAGGCTCCCAGGCTGGAGTGCACTGGCTCATAGTTCACTGCAGCTTCAACCTCCTGGGCTCAAGTGATCCTCCCGCCTCAGCCTCCCAAGTAGCTGGAACCACAGGCACCCACATCACATCCAGCTAATTTTTAAATTTTTTTGTAGAGATGGGATCTCACTATGTTACCCAGTCTGGTCTCAAACTCCTGGCCTCAAGCAATCCGCCCGCCTCAGCCTCCCGAAGTGCTGGCAGTACAGGCATGAGCCACTTTGCCTGGTTCCGAAAATTCAGTTGGGATCGGAACTCCAGAAAACCAAGACTGAGAACCACTTTTAGATAACTCGGGAGGCATGAAGTAAATCAGAGAGCAATTAATTGGCTTGATCTCTTCCTCACCCCATCTCACCCCATTACTGCTTCTTGAGCAGCCTCACCGCCAGGATCCCCTCATCTGTACTCCCTCCTCTGAATTCCCTGTCCTCCTCATGGCCCTCATGGGACCCCCTGGTGATGTGGGTAGCCAGTACCCTTCTCTCCTACACTGACACCCGTAGCTTCCTGTGGTCACTCCCACGTCCTTGTCACGACTCAGCCCCTCTGTCCAAAGCCCCCATTGCCCTCTCAGGGGCTGCCAGGACCAGCCATCCATTGAGAGACTCTCACCTCTCTCTGACTCTGGTGACTTGCACCAAAGCTCTGTAAATCCCATTTTCACTTCTGCTGCACCTGCCACCCCCCTGCAGTGTCTAAAAAACTGGGCTGGGCATGGCAGCTCACACCTGTAATCCCAGCACTTTGGGAGGCTGAGGCTGGAGGATGGCTTGAACCCAGGAGGTTGAGGCTGCAGTGAGCCACAACTGCACCACTGCACCCCAGCTGCGGTAACAGAGCAAGACCCTGTCTCAAAAAATAAAAATAGAAAACTGAACTTCAGCCCCAATGTTTGGCCCATGTAGGAGAATCTTCCCTCCTGAGGGTTCCTGGACACCAGCTGTCCCCATCATCGTCATCATCTCCTGCACTGATAATCTGTCCCCAAGAAAGCAGGAGTGGCCGGGTGAGAGCGTCCACCTGCTGCTACAGTGAGCGACAGTCCCCCTTCTCTCTGAGGCTAGGGATGTCCACCCAGCTTGCCTATTCAAGGACATTTCAACCCAGGAGAGAATGCGCTTTCTCTCTGCTCTTCTCCACCACTGGCCTCATCAGCCTGTTCCCCTCCCTTGTAACAGAATTCCTAGATCCTCCTGGGTGCTCCTCAAACCCAGCTGTACCCAGTCTTCCTCCCCCCATCCCAAGACCACTCCTATCCAGCTCCCCTGTGGCTCTCTTGGTGCTAACCCCAAAGGGTCCCCTCCCCTTCTTCTTCTTCTTCTTCTTCTTTTTTTTTGAGACGGAGTCTTGCTCTGTCACCCAGGCTGGAGTACAGGGTGAGATCTTGACTCACTGCACTATTTTTGTAGAGATGGGGTCTCACTGTGTTGCCCAGGCTGATCTCGAACTCCTAGGGTCAGGTGATCCGCCTGGCTTGGCCTCCCAGAGTGCTGGGATTACAGGTGTGAGCCACTGTGCCTGGCCCTTGAAGCCTTTTCTTTGCCCTATACTCCTGCTCTGCCTCCCTGGCCTCCTGGCTGGCCTCCTCTTCTGGGGCCGTTTCTCTGCCCACACTTCATCCACACCGACTCCCACATTTCTCTCCTACCCACAGAGCTCCTGAGTGCCATTCTCCATCTCCCGTGTTTGACATTTCCAGCATCTTCTAAAATATCCCAAATCAGCCCCCAGTTTCACCCCAGACTCCCTCTCTGGAACACCAGCATATCAGTGTTGACAGCAATTTGGGGCAAAACACTTGCAAGACCTCAGGGGGCCCTGTCTCCTCTGTCTCCCTCTCCTCATCTACGAAGAAACATCTAGAAAGTGCCTGCATCATCCTTCTCTCTCTCTAACCTCCCTCTGACTCTCTTTTCCCCACAGTGGTGGATAGAAGCTGAAAGGTGTCAATCAAAGTAAGGCCATCTCGGCCGGGCATGGTGGCTCACGCCCGTAAGTCTCAGCACTTTGAGAGGCTGAGGCAGACGAGTCACCTGAGGTCAGGAGTTTGAGACCAGCCTGGCCAACAAGGTGAAATCCCGTCTCTACTAAAAATTCAAAAATTGGCCGGCGCGGTGGCTCAAGCCTGTAATCCCAGCACTTTGGGAGGCCGAGACGGGCGGATCACGAGGTCAGGAGATCGAGACCATCCTGGCTAACACGGTGAAACCCCGTCTCTACTAAAAAATACAAAAAACTAGCTGGGCGAGGTGGCGGGCGCCTGTAGTCCCAGCTACTCGGGAGGCTGAGGCAGGAGAATGGCCTAAACCTAGGAGGCGGAGCTTGCAGTGAGCTGAGAGATCCGGCCACTGCACTCCAGCCCGGGCGACAGAGCAAGACTCCATCTCAAAAAAAAAAAAAAAAAAAAATTCAAAAATTGGCCAGGTGCGGTGCTCATGCCTGTAATCCCAGGCACTTTGGGAGGCCAAGGTGGGTGGATCACCTGAGGTCAGGAGTTCTAGAGCAGCCTGGCCAACATGGTAAAACCCCATCTCTACTAAAAATACAAAAATTAGCCAGGCGTGGTGGCAGGCGCCTGTAATCCCAGCTACTCGGGGGGCTGAGGGAGGAGAATCGCTTGAACCCAGGAGTCAAAGGTTGCAGTGAGCCAAGATTGCGCCATCGCACTCCAGCCTGGGGGACAAGAGCGAGACTTCGTCTCAAAAAACAAACAAAAAAAATTACCCCAGGCATGGTGGTGAATGCCTGTAGTCCAGCTACTTGGAAGGCTGAGGCAGGAGAATGGTGTGAACCTGGGAGGCGGAGGTTGCAGTGAGCCGAGATTGCACCACTACACTCCAGCCTGGGCGACAGAGCAAAAAAAAAAAAAAAAAAAAAAAACAAGAAAAAAACCAGAAAAGCTATCTCCCCCAAGGTGGGTACACCCCCACCCACACCCCAAAAGGCAAATACTGACAGCTGTTTCTGAGTGGGTAAAGAACACTTTGAAGCTTGTGCAGAAAAAACAAACAAGAAACAGCAGGAAAGCTCTGATAAAAAGGCCCAGGGCGGGGGCACCCATCACCAAGGATGCTAAACTTTACCATTAGAGGAATCTATACTCTCTGTGGAAACTGAGTGGAGAAACTGACCTAAGATCTTAAAACCTTTGGCAAATACTAAAGACCATCCTGGAGAGCAGGAACGGAAAGCGTGGGGACCCTCTGGAAAACAGTGAGGGCGTGTCTTTGTTTCTCGTAAGCCTCAGAGCAAACCCCCACCTTGTACCTAAGGTGTCGATGCAGAAATGGAATCCCTGGAGTCATCCCAGAGCCAAAAGGAGAGAGTGTGTCATGGAGGTTTGTTTATGGGAAGAATCGAGAAGCCACAAGGGTGGATGAAGAAACACCACTCACGGTCTCAAGCGTCGCAGGCAAAGTCAGAAGACAAGTGACAGATGGGAGGTCCAAGCAGAGCTTATCTCCTCTCAGATAAAGACCAACAGCCATCGATGGGGACAGCCAGTTGGCTGTGAAATGCATGCAGAGAAGCTGAGCTTCAGCTTAAGAGAAGAGCAAATGAAAGTGACAAAAGCCCTTTGGGAGGTGGAGGCGGGCTGACTGCTTGAGCCCAGGAGTTTGAGACCAGCCCGGGCAACATAACAACCTCACCTCTACAACATAGCGACCTCATCTCAACAAACAATAAAAATGTTACCTGGGGCCAGGCACTGTGGCTCACGCCTGTAATCCCAGCACTTTGGGAGGCCAAGGTGGGCAGATCACCTGAGGTCAGGAGTTCAAGACCAGCCTGGGTGATACAGTGAAATCCTCTCTACTAAAAATAAAAAATTAGCAGGCGCCACCACACTACTTGGGAGGCTGAGGCAGGAGACTCGCTTCAACCCAGTAAGCAGAGGTTCCAGTGAGCTGAGATTGTGCCACCACACTCCAGCCTGGGCAACAGAGCAAGATTCTGTCTCAAAAAAAAAAAAGTGGGAGTGGTGGCGTGCCCCTGTAATCCCAGCTACTCTGGAGGCTGAGGTGGGAGGATCCATTGAGCCTTGGAGATTGAAGCTACAGCCAACTATGATAGTGCCACAGCTCTAGCTGGACCACAGAGTAAGACCCTGTCACAAAAAAAAAAAAAAAAAAAAAGGGAAGTAGGGGGACAGCAGATGCCAGCCAGGGCCACTGGAGCCAAGGACGAGCCTTCGTGGGGTGGGTGGCAGAGGAGAGGAGGATTGTGCAGGGTCCCACTGTGGAGGCGGTGGAGTGGTCAGGCCCAGGCTGGTGCGTGGCTTTTGCCCTGCAGCGGCCTGGAGAGGCAGGGAGGAGGGGAAGAGGAAGGTTTAACTGGGGAGAGGGAAGCAAGGAGGAAGTGCTAGGGTGACAGGAGGGACATACATGCCTACGGGGCAGGGTGAAGGAGAGGCAGGGTGAAGGCAAGGCCCGGGCCTGGCCGGGTAAGAGGAGCTGGGGGGTGTGAAACGGCCAGGGAAGAAGCAGGAAAGAGGGCCAGGCGGCCGCGTGGGGCTCCCAGGCTAACCTACGCTGGTTCTGGCCCCCAGGAAGCCACTGAGGAACGGCCTGGTGAAGGACAAGCGCTTCTGAATCCCTCGGCCCCGCCCCCGTGGACCCGGCCCCACCCCGAATACCTCGGCCACGCCCCCGTCCTTGGCGCCCCTCCACCCCCTCCAACTCCACGCCTCTAGGGCCGTGGCCACCTCCCCTGGGCCCCCGCCCCCTCATCCTGCCTTCATTCCCTGGCCACGCCCCCCCAGGACCCCTGCCCCTCCCGGTACACCGACCCCGCCCTCAGTCCACTGGTCCCGGGCCGCGGCGGACCCTGTGCACTCTCTGGCCAACACCTGGGAGGAAGATGCTACCGCCGCGGCAAGGTCCCGGCGGCCAACACCTCCTCCTCCTCCTGGTCCTCCTGCTGCCCTCGCTACCCCCGACCCGCGCCCCCGTCCCCCCAGGCCCAGCCGCCGCCCTGCTCCAGGCTCTCGGGCTGCGCGATGCGCCCCAGGGCGCCCCCAGGCTCCGGCGGGTTCCCCCGGTCATGTGGCGCCTGTTTCGACGCCGGGACCCCCAGGAGACCAGGTCTGGCTCGCGGCGGATGTCCCCAGGGGTCACCCTGCAACCGTGCCACGTGGAGGAGCTGGGGGTCGCCGGAAACATCGTGCGCCACATCCCGGACCGCGGTGAGTGGGGCTTTCGCTGGGGGCACTGGTCCTGGAGGTCAGACCTCGCGGGGCGAGCCTCGAGAGTGGCCCGGGGATGCCCGAACGACTCCGAAGGTCCCCAGCCGCCCTGTCCAGGCTGCTAGCAACTTCGGCCACCGCACCCCACCCTTTCCTCATCCTCTGCACGCCGGGGACACGTCAGGGGGTTCCCGAGACCAGTTCCCCTGCTTGATGCTGAAGCCCTGCCCCCAGCCCACCCCCACCCCCAACACTTGACACTATTTAATGCCTTCCTGCAGATGCCACCCCCACACCCTAGCATAGCTTCCCCAGGGGCCCAGGCTCTGGCTCATGTCTCCCACTTCGGTCACCCCTCCCTCCTATGTCCCCCGCCGAGGGCAGCCCACCACTCGCCGCAGGGCGCCTTCCTTGGGACTCATGCCCTGCCCCCACTCCATCAGCCCACCCCACCGCTTCACACCCTTCCTACAGACAGTGCTTCCCGAGCCCCAGCGTTCACCTTCCTCCCTGTCCCTAACCGAGACCCCATGGGCAGGCCGGAGACGCAGCGCGAGCCAAGTCCTGTCCCTACCTCCCCAGGTGCGCCCACCCGGGCCTCGGATCCTGCCTCAGCTGTGGGGCATTGCCCTGAGTGGACAGTCGTCTTCGACCTGTCGGCTGTGGAATCTGCTGAGCGCCCGAGCCGGGCCCGCCTGGAGCTGCGTTTCGCGGCGGCGGCGGCGGCTCCGGAGGGCGGCTGGGAGCTGAGCGTGTCGCAGGCGGGCCAGGGGATGGGCGCAGGCCCCGGGCCGGTACTGCTCCGCCAGTTGGTGCCCGCCCTGGGGCCACCAGTGCGCGCGGAGCTGCTGGGCACCGCTTGGGCTCGCAACGCCTCATGGCCGCACAGCCTCCGCCTGGCGCTGGCGCTGCGCCCCCGGACCCCTGCCGCCTGTGCGCGCCTGGCCGAGGCCTCGCTGCTACTGGTGACCCTCGACCCGCGCCTGTGCCACCCCCTGGCCCGGCTGCGGCGCGACGCCGAACCCGTGTTGGGCGGCGGCCCCGGGGGCGCTTGTCGCGCGCGGCGGCTGTACGTGAGCTTCCGCGAGGTGGGCTGGCACCGCTGGGTCATCGCGCCGCGTGGCTTCCTGGCCAACTACTGCCAGGGTCAGTGCGCGCTCCCCGTCACGCTGTCGGGGTCCGGGGGGCCGCCGGCGCTCAACCACGCTGTGCTGCGCGCGCTCATGCACGCAACCGCCCCGGGAGCCGCCGACTTGCCTTGCTGCGTGCCCGCGCGCCTGTCGCCCATCTCCGTGCTCTTCTTTGACAACAGTGACAACGTGGTGCTGCGGCAGTATGAGGACATGGTGGTGGACGAGTGCGGCTGCCGCTAATGCGGGGCGGGCGAGGACGCGGGCCCAACAATAAACGTCGCGTGGTCTGCTCTGCTGGTCTCCTTGGACTCCTTTGCCTGGGGTTGGGGAGAGCGCCCCTCGGCCTTGGCGATCGGAAAGGCCTTTCCACTTCCAGGTCACTTACCCGAGGCCTAACCCACCACCCCCGGGACAGGCCCAGGTGCTGCCCACGGGAGGGGCCCAGGGGCAGGGGTCGCCCTTCCTCAGTCCTGCAAGGCAGACCTGCCCTTTCTGGGCTTTGCCTGTCTCCCTCTGGCGTCCTTCACACCCCAACCCCTCACTCGGCCAGGGAACCCCCGCCCCCAACACCCTCTGCCCCCTGCAGTTTATCCAATCCTTGGTGTGAAGGCAAAACTGTTTAATATTTTATTGGTGACAAAAGAACTTAAATTGACCGAAAATCAAAAGTTACATTGCCTTGGTACGGTGCGCCTGGGTTTGTCAAGGCCGCTGCTACAAAGCTGGAGAACACAGCACAGGGCGAAGCAGAGGCAAAGCGGCCCAGCCCAACAGCCGGGATGGGGCAGGCAGCGTCCCTCAGGCCGCCGCGGGGTCACCGCAGAAGCCTACCCGGTGCGTGGTGCATGCCTCTACGCGGCCTACCGGAAGAAGGGGAAACCGAAAGCCCTAGAGCAATGGGAATAAATAAGAGTCCCTGCCAGAAGGAAGGTGGCCTGTGCGTCCCCGTCTGTCCCATGTAGAAGCTGGAATCTGGAAGTGTTCAGCTCAGGGCAAGTGACAGCCCCAGGCCCGGGCCAGGGCAGGCTGGAGGCCTGGCCGCCAGGCGGAATGACACCCCAAGCCAGGGGTTCGAGGGGCTGAGGCAGCTCTCCTAACTAAAATGACCCTCTGCCAACGACACCACACCCCCCAGCCCCTTCACACAGAACGCAGTAATTCCTGTAACTTGTTTCCTTACCCCCCAGAAGCAGCGATCACCCCCTCAGCAAAACTGCTGGCAGGCAGAGCTCCCAATTTGGGCTTTCGGTGTGCAGCGCTCCGTGTGTCTAACCAGTACAGGGACTGTCGGTGCCTCCTGGGGACAGGGACAGGCCCTCTTGTCCTTCCACCAAATCTTCCAAAGGCCCCCGGGAAAAAGCCGTTGATCCGGGAACAGCCACCTTCTCGCCCCCTGGCCACAGGGCCAGTCCTAGCCAAGGCCCCTCGCAATGGGGCCAAAAGCACCTTCCTCACAGGTGCAGCGCCCTGCGCCGAGTCCGGGCGGAAAGCGGCTTGGCTTCTGAGTCCAGTGGAGAACGAGCAGCTTCCAGGCTCGGTGGGCGGCTACCCCAGAGGCCCGATGCCCCGCAGCAAGAAGCCACCGGAAGCTAAAACCAGCAACAAAAATCCTCCTCCAGGCCGCGGCACAGGTGTTGCTCCTCTTCTCCAGTGGCGCTGGCTTGTTCAAACTGTTTCTGGAAGCTTCTCACATCTCCCAGGTCCACCGCTAAGATTTTAGAGACAAACTTAGGAAAGTATTCTTCAGTACTCCTTTAAAAGAATCTTGAAAAAACAAACAGAAAAACCCCAAACACCCTTATTTTCTTTAAATGAAGGCCCTCGGAGAACACAGGCAGCGCGACCTCGGCGCGTCTGGTAGGCGTGGACAGATGTGCCCTTCCGGGGCTCTGCCCCGCGCGCCGCCGTCTTTGCAAGGAGCCTGCTCGGGCACAGAAATGCGAAGTTTTTTCCTGCTAAGACGTAGTCCCCTTTCAATCAAAGAGAAAAAGAAATAAAAGAACAGAGGAAAGGGCTACTCTGAGATGAGGGTCTTCCTCCCTCCGCCCTGGCCGCAGCCCCGGTGGGACGGAGCGGGGCCTCCTGGTGGCGGCGGCTCCCGCGGGCCGGCCCCTCCTCCGCTCCCTCTGCTCCTCGCCGCCGCGGGCCAGCAGGGGGCGCTCGGCCTCGGCTCCTCTCCCTCGTGCGCTCTCCCTTCCTGTCGCTCACACAGTGGTGCTTCAGTTTTAGCAGTGGAAAACAGGTATCCGTTTATTTTTATTTTTTATTACCCAGAATAAGATGCTGATGGACTAAGCCACGTTGCTTAGCTCTTCCGCCGCCACCTGTCAGGAGGGAGAAGGGCAGGAGGCGGTGAGAGGCGGCGCGCAGAGCCCCACAGGTACCCAGCGCACGGGACAGCGAGGGAGAGCTGGAGCTGCTCTCCCCCACTCTGATGAGGAAACAGGTCCCGCGAGCAGAGGGCTCCCGGGTAGCGTAGGGTGGGGTGCCTCCACATCCCTTTCCGTGGGGAGCCCTAGAATTCTTTCAAGGGGAAAGTGGGGCTGTGACTGGGCAACACATGGAGCCACCCTGACGGGTGGTGAAGGGCACAGGCCAAGCTGGCCCTGACCCCACTGCGGACAGCATGCATTTCCAGATACCACCCCTCCCCAGCAGCTCCCTGGAGGCTGGGATGGGGCCAGGCCTGCTCCGGGGGGCTTGCCTTTTAGTACTGGGACAGCCCCGTCACCCCGCCATGCTGGTACGCCCTCTCTCCCTGGTACGTGGAGTCCTGCGAGAGCGCCACGTCGATTTGTGATTTAAACTCATCACCAAGGTAACTGTCCTGAAAGACAATGTCAGGAGGTAAGCAAGCCACAGGCCAAGGGTGCTCACATCCACCCAGCCCTCAGCAGCCCAGAGAGGAGAATGGAAAATCCGTCCCCAAATTAAGACCCAGGAGATCCACTCTGATGACCCTAGCCCAGGGACAGGTAATTTGGACAGTGGACATGGGCCAGGCCAGCTCTCGGGCTCTTCAGAGGGCATGTTCCAGGTGCACAGCCCCACTCTCACTCAAGCAAGTCCTGTCCCAGGGCCGCAAGAGGGCTCTGTGCGTGGGGCGGGCTCACCTGGGACAGCTCCGGCTGGGAGAGGCCGGGCTGGCTCATCTGGGAGGGCTGGCTCATGGAGATGTAGCCCTGCGTCAGGGCGCCCTGAGAGAAGGGCTGTGACGCCACATCCTGGCTGGCTTGGCTGTTGGGGAGGTTGGTCTGGCTGGGCCCAGGAAGCCCAAAGCGGTTCTTCTGGCGTCCCCCACGGCCAGTCTTGCCTTTCGGGGTGCCTCGGCCTGAAAGACAGCAGTCCAGGGTGATCCCAAGGAGGCCAGGGCCTCGCAAACAAGCACACCCTCGAGAGCTCTCAGGAGGGCCACACCCGGCCACAGCCATGGATGCTTACCTGCAGCGGGCCCATTGGCTTGTCCAAAATAGCCAGGCGGTGGCATGGGCGGCATGACCAGGTTGAAGGGGATGGGAATGTTCATGGCAGCCACGTGGCTGGGGCCGGCACTGATCATGCCAATCTGGTCATGGGTCTGGAAGTACATGCTGGAGGGCCGGCCTGCAAATCACAGTGGAACAAGCAGGTGTCATCTGCCTCGGTCAAACCCCGGCGATGCCCCACCCACCCTACCAGCCAGTCAGTCGGAGCTGCACATCTGTCCTGGCTCTGCCCAGGCTGAAGATGCAGATTCGCCGGACTCCATGTTGACTACAGCAGCCAGCCTGGGGCTGGGTGCTAGGGCAGGCACCTTCCCCCCAGAAGAGCCTGCTGGGAATCACTGGCCTACACAGATCTGAAAATCAGGGCCGGGCATGTTGGCTCAAGCCTGTAATCCCAGCACTTTGGGAAGCCGAGGTGGGTGGACCACCTGAGATCAGGAGTTTGAGACCAGCCAGGCCAACATGGCTAAAAACACAAAAATTAGCTGGGCGTGGTGGTGGGTGCTTGTAATCCCAGCTACTTGGGAGGCCAAGGCAGGAGAATCGCTTGAATCCGGGAGGCGGAGGTTGCAGTGAGCCAAGATCGCACCACTGTACTCCAGCTTGGGCGACAGAGCAAGACTGTCTCAAAAAAAACCAAAACAAACAAAACAAAAAAAACCCCCCATGCAAACTGGCCACGTGCAGTGACTCTCGCCTGTAATCCCAGCACTTTGGGAGGCTGAGCGGGAGGAATGCTTGAGGAAGGAGTTGGAGACCAGCCTGGACAACACAGCGAGACCCTGTCTCTAAACATAAAAAATAAATGAAAATCACCCTGAATTTACCAAAGGAAAAAAAAATCCTTTTTATGAAAATGTTCTATTTGTACTACATGCAGTCCCTGCCCTACCAAAAGGCAAGAAAAAGCTAACTAGATTGATCACTAGGAAACACAAATAAACTCTGGCTAAAGACAAACGCCCCAGGGGTGCTGTGGGGCTAGAGATGCCCTGGGGGCGGGGAGGACAAGGGAGCCAGGCCCCGCCCTTGAGGGGAAGGAAAGGTGGGGCACCTAAAGCTTCAGCCATGGGAACAGCCAGCATCCTGGTGTGAGGACAAGGGGCCGGCTGGTCTCCTGCCGAGCAACTCACCCTGGCTGCTCCGATCATAGACGGAGCCTGGGATGATGGCCTCCCGGGCATCATACATGGCTGTGGTCATGAAGCGGGCTCCCTGCGAAGGTTTAGATAGGTGAGGAATTTGTCATCTCAACAGAAGGAACAACTTCCCATGGGCCAGTGGCCTGGGAGGCCTGGGAGGCAGCAGGTATGCAGCTGTGGGGTGTTGACACTGTGCCAGGGGCTCTCCCTGGAGACAGGAGAGAGCTGTTGTCTCACGGCCTCTGGGTCTCGCCTGCCCTCCTCGGTAGACCTGGGCTGATGCTGACCCTTGGGCCTCGGCTCAGGAAGCTTCATATTCCCTCACCACCAGGGAACCCCGGGCTTGAAAAGCTTCCAACTCCCGGCGTCCCAGGTCCCAGGACCCAGGCTGCTGCATGCGGCACAGCAGCCCTGAGCCCAATTCCCAGAGGCCACCCAGGACTCAGTGGCCCTGAGCCAAAAATGCCACACACGGCTTGGGAGACAGGAAGTAGGCTGGCCCATCCTCCCCTAGGAGAGCCCTCCCTCAGCTCACAGGCACATGGGCCAAGCTGGCACATTCCCAGCAGTGTTTCAGGCCCGGGTTTCTCCTTGCTGCCCTGCTGTCCTGCGCAGACGCTCACCGGGTTGATGGTGTTGACCAGCTTGCGCGGCTTGCTGAACTGCATGAGGCTCTCGCGCAGGTTGTTGAGCGGCCCCTCCACCAGCACCTTCTGCTCCTTGTAGTAGTTCAGCAGGTGGTTCCAGAGTGGTTGCTTCGACAGCGCCTTCGGGTTGCCCACGATGATGACGCCGTACCTGCAACAAGGGCACAGTGCTGAGGACGCAGGTGGAGAGCGGCCCGTCTCACGGGATGGTCCAAGAGGCAAGGGTGCATTCACTCACAACCCAAATCCAAGGCAAGAGAGGCGTGGACCGGGCGAGCCAAGGCAGCAGGCAGGCTGCCAGCCACAGGGACAGGCCCCAGAGCCCAATGCCAAGCTACTGACCCTGCACACGGGTTGATTTTGTGGCTGACTCTAAGCAGCCCCATGGCAGACACCTGGCTAGGTGGATACGTTTGAAGACAAGACCTGCTGTCAAGAGAGTCGGCCTTCCAGGCACCAGGGCACAGGTGGCCCCACAGGGTCCCTGGCAGGCTGGGGCACTGACCCCATGCCCAGCTCCTCTAGCCCACCTCACGCAGCTGTGGGGGGACCCACCCAATACCACCCACCAAACAAGAGCGCGCCTTAGAAAGAGGAAGTAACCAATGACAAAGCCATGGTGACCTACAGGAGGACTACTGCGTATGTGAGCTGGAAGGAGCGCCAGGTTCTCTCCCTATGCTGGGTGGAGCCATGGGCCAGGCCCCCCGGACTTCCAGCTGGTGAATGAGTCCTTGCTGTCTAGTTTTTTTTTTTTTCTTTCTTACTTTCTTTGGAGTCTGAGTTTTGCTCTTGTTGCCCAGGCTGGCGTGCAAAGGCACGATCTCGGCTCACCACAATCTCCGCCTCCCAGGTATAAGCGATTCTCCTGTTTCAGCCTCCCAAGTAGCTCAGATTACGGGCATGCACCACCACGCCTGGCTAATTTTTTTGTATTTAGTACAGACAGGTTTCACCATGGTTAGGCTGGTTGAGAACTCCTGACCTCAGGTGATCCACCCGACTCGGCCTCCCAAAATGCTGGGATTGCAGACATGAGACACTGCACCCGGCCTGATGTCTAGTTGTATGTGGGATGACAGAATGGACCCCTTCTGCTATCATCAATTCACAAAAGTTGTATTTTAGAACCAAAAATAGTGGACAGGACCAAAATTTACAGGCTCTCAGATTAAACAACTTGACAGACACACACCAGATTTATCTGAATCAGACCAGAAGGGCCTGGAAAGATACGTCCTGCTGGGCTGAGGCACAGGGGCCACAGCAAACCCCCAGGACACGGAAACAAAGATCTCTCCAGTGAGACATTGTTTCTCAACTGCTGCTTAGAGCCCTTTGACCTCTGGCCCTGGCAACCCCCAACCCTAGCCCCAAATTCCCTGGGAAGTGAGGACTGATGAGAGCGGCTGGGCAGCACACAGCAGGCAGCCTCCCTACCTTGCTCTGGTCAGGGCCACGTTCAGACGCCTGGGGTCATTTAAAAACCCAATGCCTTGGTGCTCGTTGGCCCGCACACAGGACAGGATGATGAAGTCCTTCTCGCGTCCCTGAAAGGCGTCCACACTGGCGATCTCCACCTCCTGAAAGGGAGCTTTATGGTCATTATCGGCCAACAGGCTGCCTTCCCAGTCCCCGCAAAATGCAGGAAATACACCAAGACCCACCCTCAAATCCCACCCGGGAGCTTGGGGCCTGGCACCTGCTCCATCGCACCTAGGGGATGTCCTGGCTCTGCTGTCATTTTGCTTTGTTTTCTTTTTTTAGAGACAGGATCTTGCTCTGTCACAGGCTAGAGTGCAGTGGTGCGATCTCAGCTCACTGCAGCCTTGACCTCCCAGACTCAGCTGATCCTACCTCAGTCTCCTGAGTAGCTGGGACCATAGGCACATGCCACCACACCCAGTTACTTTTTTTTTTTTGGTGGAGATGGGGTCTCCCTACATTGCACAGGTTGGTCTGGAACTCCCAGGCTCAAGCGACTCCCCTGCCTCAGTCTCCCAAAGTGCTGGGACTCCAGGTGTGAGCCATGACACCCAGCCTGTTCTCTTTTAGCCATGGGGATTTGTTTCTCAGCACTAAGAGCACAAGTGCTCATCCCAGAGAACCTGAGCCGGGCTCAAAAACAGAACAGAAACCACTGCCATGTAGCCACTCAGACTCGGCACTTGGGCTCATTTCCCCATGGAGGCAGAGCTGTGCCTCCTCCCCCCACACCCGCAGTAGGCGTTTCATCCGGGTGTCAAAAAAAGTGTGAACACCAGTCTCCACAGCACAACATCTACTGCGTGGCAGGCACAGACCACTCCCGTTCCACCTTGGACTTGTTTCAACCATCCCAAGAAAACACCTTGATGTGCCAATCTCAGCCCATGTTTCTGATCCTTGTGACGTACTTCTCAAAGTCTCTGTCCTGACCATGTGGAATTTCACAAGGACGGTGGGGATGTGCTGTCTGTGCCCTCCCCAGAGGGTGGACCAGCTGGTGCTTCCTGGGCCACTCTGAGCTCCAGCCAGGACGGGCACCTCTTGGGGGGGGTAACTTAAAAGTCAAGGGTCAATACCCCTGAATGGCCCCGGAGACCGAGTGTGCCTATGGGCGCGGAGCACCTGGTAGAGCTTGGTGTGCAGGGAGCCGCTGAACTGCATGTACTGCACCAGGTAGGAGCGCTGGCCCTCGTAGGGCGTGATGATGCCAATCTGGTCCGGCTTGGCGCCCGCCTTCAGCAACTTCGTGGTGATCTTCTCCACGTTCGCAGCCTCGGTCCTAAGAAACCCAGGCTCTCAGTGCTGGGCTCCACCTGTGGGATCCCGAGCCCTGAGGCTGGAGGCTGTGAGGGGTGCAGACACACGACACCCTGCGGGAAGGCAGCTGCCATCACTGGTGTTTGCATGGCTGAGCTTCCCCAGCCTTCACCAAGGAAGTCTTGAGGGGCAGAAAAGGCTGCCATGTGGGATTAGCAAGTATCTGCCCAATAAAAAACAAGTACAATGGAAAAGGAGGCAGAAACAATACGGTTTAGAGTCTAAACAGCAGATGAAAGTAAAAAAAGTTTCAGTCCCATGTTAAAAATAAGTACAATGGGTCAGCAACCTCTCAAGCTGTCCCCAAGGCCTGCAGATGCCGGTGGGCCTGTCCCTGCTCACCTGTTCAGGTAGGAGGTGCCCGAGCTGGCTATCTCCTCTTGGCCCTGGGTCACGTAGAAGAACATCGGTTTATCGGGCTGGGGCCACTGGAAGTCAAATCCCTTCTTCACACGATCCGCTGTGAGGGGAGGGAAAGAGGTAACACTTCAAAAGCCCTAGCCCACGTCAACTGAGTTCAGACACAGTGCAATGTAGATGCCACACCAGCGCTGCAGGCCCTGGGGCAAGAGACCTCGATCTGTGAGGCCCTGGTGAGGTCACCTGAGCCGGTCCCCTGGCTGAAGATGGCCAGGATTGAGCAAGGTTGAGCAGAGGCCACTGAGAGCACCATGGCCAGCACAGAGTTGGCTCAGCCCCTGAACAGGAAACAGGGTCTCAGCCAGAGCTTTCCTGCAGCCTGGATCTCTGGCAACCCCAGGATACAGGCTATTCTCCTGCTTCCTTCCAGAAGCTTGCCTTAAAGGCTCCACAGCCCCTACAACTGACTTGCATGTGACACTGCTAAGTCAACTGTGTCCCCCTGCCCTGCAGCCTTGCCCATTCCTGCTGAGGGCCTGTGGACTGCTGGCTCTGCCTCTGGGCTCCCTCCTGGGCCGGGGCCCAACACTGCAGCTGGGGGGCCGCAGCGTCCTGCTGTGTGAGCAACTTTCTTCGGGCTCTTCGCACTCATCTTGGCTTTTCTGGGCTCTGTGCGTTTCCTTAAAACTGTAAAACCAGCTTCTCAATTCACACGTGCCCCCCTCACTCTACTGGGAGCTTCGATCAGTGTGAGGCAACTGGTGTTTTTGCACAGCACCAGCCTGACATGGACAGAGGAAGCCAGACACGCCAACACACACCGTATGATCCCACGTCGAGCTGAAAATGAGGCCAAGTGCATCACTGTTGTTGCAGCGAGCACAGGGGCCGCCGGATGAGCTCAGAAGTCCCTCAGCCCAGGGGCTGCTGTAGATGCGCACCCCTGGACGGTGGCCACCTGCAGGGATGAGGCAGCTTCTTGCAGCTGGTCAGGTGGTTCTGGGTTCAGATGCTGGCTATCCAAATATGCTCACTTAGTGACCACGCACTGAGCCAGACACTCGTAATGTGGCCACATGTTTACACTTCAATAGAGAATTTCCTAAAATATACTTACTGGGTATGAACTACGTGCTGGGCATCAATTAGAGAGCAGTGTGCACCAGCGTCTGCCCTCTGGGCCGATGCCCTGGGGACCATGAGGGGTCTGAGCCTGCACTGAGCCACGCCTTTCCCAGCCAGTGCTCAGACACACCAGCACAAGCGAGGTCTCTGCAGCCTTCTGTTTTCAGCCTTGCCATGCACTGGCAACAGCGGTGTCCCAGCGATGTCAACAGTGGCATCAACTCCCACGACCTACCACTCGGCAAAGAGTGGTGCAGCCCAACCCGGGGGGTGGGCTCTGAGCCTCACTTTCTCCTGTAAGTAGGCCTGACAATACCAACCTCACAGGTTTGGAGTTCACGAGATGCTATATTGGCAGCTTTCAGGACCCTTTACACTCTCAAAAGTTAGGGAGTCCAAACAGCTTTTGTTTATTGGATAACTGTATTCCCTAAACTTGGAAATTTTTTAAAAATGTATTAATTTGTTTAAAAATAACCCATTACGCATTAGTTATTTCTCCAAAAATAAGCTAAGTGAGAAGAGTGGTCCTGTCTCCCGTTTCTGCGAATCTCCTTACTATCTGGATGAATCGGAGGCAGCTGGGCCCTGGGATCTGCCCCTGCTCAGTCCACCCTCCCGGGCTCCGGGAAAGCCGGGCCTCATGGATGCCTGTGACTGGAAAAGGAGATGGGTTTGTTTTTACAGCCTTTCTGCATGGCTGGGAGTCTCCAGCCCTGAGGCCACATCAAGCTGGGCAGAGGTGGGTTTCCGCAGGCCTGTGACAACTCTTTGCCACTCCATCCCCATGTGACTTCGTGACACTCTGCATTGGTCATTCAAGAAGGATCTCCCATCAAGTAGGTCTTCCAAAGGCTGACACATTTCACCGGCAATGGTGGAAACAGTTCATCTGTTACCCCCACAGACCTCGTTAGAAAAGTCTCTAGGTGTTGGGAAGACACCAAGCTCATGGCAAGCGACGTTAACGTTTTCCAAAATTCTGGTTTTCACTTGAATTTTACTACTGTAACAGATGTTGCCACTTGTTCTCTATGAAGCGATGAGATCGATCATTTTTGGAAAAAGTCTGCCCAACACCACGGGGTGAATACCCAGGGTGTGTCCACAAGGCCTGCCTTCAAGCACCGGCACACCCAAAGGTGTCAAGAGAAATTCTATCTGGTCGCAGCAAAACACTCAAGGCAAGATGTACTGTTCACTTCCTCATCCGGGGTGTTTCTTACTGTGATCCCAGCACAGTCCGGCTGCTCCGAGCCAACTCTTGCAGAAGTACCAGTGAGTCACCAGCAAGCATCGGCAGAGTGAAAAAGGGCAGCTGAGGCCTCTGTGTTATACAGGGAAGCCAGACACGGTCTTGCAGACCCCAGGGGCCCAGGCCCCGAGAATGACTATACTTCAGGAAGCACTGAACACACGGCCCACGTTAAGGCCTGGGCTCAGCATCCCTAACGCCTGTCCTTGCTGTTGTGCATGCTGCCACATGAGCCTTGGATGAATTCTCAGGCAATGACTGAGTTTTACAGAGGACACAGGCTCCCCACATGCCCCAGAGACACCACTTGATCTAAGACCATACCACCAAGACCTTGGGCACAAAGTGCCCTGAACTCAAGCAGTGGCTATGTGAAGCCACTCAGGGGAAACTGATGGGCCAGTTCCTTCTCCCCAGGCCACATTCCCTTGATGCCACTTCTCCGCAGAAGCCCCTGCCCCAAGCAGAACCCGTTACCTGCAGTGACACCATTCTGGAGGGAGCCCTCGTAGAAGATGTTGGACGGGAAGGCGCTGAGTGCAGGGTGCATCCGGTACTGGACCTGCAGGCGGATGGGCCGGATGCCCAGCACCACCAGGCGCTCGAAGAGCGACTGCGACAGCCCGGCTTTGGCCGCCTTCTTGCACATCACCACCGGGCCCAGTTGGCAGTGGTCACCTACAAGGATCAGCTGTAGGGAGAGGGGCCCCCACAAGTCAAGAAGTTCAGGTGTGAATCAGCCTCAACACACACTAGCGAGGAAGTAGGGGCCCCAGGGTGCACAGGGCACCACCTGGCCACAGGGGCATTGCTCACCACACACGCTGGACGTGCAGCTGGCAGACCCCACCCTCTATAAACCCCTCAGGGAGCCCTGCGTGTGCACACATTCTGCTGAGCATCCTACATCAATACAGGGTGTTTTAAAAGACAAACACCAAGAATCACACACACGAGTTTTCACACAGGAGACGGTAGGGAAGAGAGCCCACCTGCTTGGCCCCAAGGACCACGGGAACCATGCACTCTGGCTCAGTGGCCTGGGTGCTTTCGTCGATTAAAATGGAGCGGAACTGCATCTTGGCCAGTCTTGGGTCGCCGGCGCCCACACATGTGCAGCAGATGACATCTGCATTCTGGGGAAGGGTGCAGAGGCATCAGGGCACCTGCACTGTAAACGCCACCAGACCCCGGAGGGCAGGTGGGACAGGACACAGAAGCTCTCCTGTTTCTCACCCTCCCTGACACTATAAAAAAACAAGCTGTCCCTCCCGGACAAGATACACGGTCCAGGCTGTGGTGATTACCAACTTTAAAGGTCCTTAAACGGTCACGTTTCACAGAAGGCAACCTCTCCACACCAAGGGCTCTATGTCTCACAACAGCCTTCAAGGGGCAGTGCTGAGCTGCCGAAAGCTGCACTCAGGCTGATTCCAGTTCAGGCTGGTGGGTTATGAAAGAGCAGGAGTGTTCTAGATCCACTGTCAGATCCTAGTGGAGGCTGGGAGTGGAGACTCCCTAGAAGACCGTGTTCCAGGCAGCGAGATGTCCCTAATTTACTGTACAACTGAGCGCAGAGAGGCCAGGTAGAGAGCATCTAATTTCTCTTTCCAGAAGCAAAGCAACAATTCAAACAGGTGCCTTGGCCCAAACAAAAACCATCAGGCCGCCAGCCCACAGGCCCTTTTACAGGCAGGAGGGGCACTCACCATCAGCAGCTCTCTCTCCGCGGTACGCTTCAAGGCCCGGTACCGCTTCTCGTCGGCAGACGACAGCTCGCCAGTCTCATCTTTCAGCTGCTGCAGCTTCTGCAGCTCAGGCATGCTGGAAGCACATGCAGGTCAGCGGGGCACCTGAGCTCTGTACATGTCACCTGCAGCAGCTCAGGGACCAACTGGGAGGGATGGACTTGATACACACCTGTCCATGTTTCTGATCTGGTTGTGAAGGGCCAGGAAAGACACTGGGGAGTCGATGGCCTCGCGGCTCTTGGCACAGAGGCGCACGACCTTTAGCCCCGTCTGGTGGATCTTCTCTGTTAGCTGGTCCACGGCGATGTTGCTCGGAGCACACACCAGCACCGGCCTGCAACACCATTCAGGCAGCTCAACACTTACCCAGAGGAAGCTCGGTGAATGTAATAAGCCAAGACTCTGTTTTTTGAGACAGGGTCTTGCTCTGTTGCCCAGGCTGGAGTGCAGTGATTTCAGCTAATTGCAGCCACAATATCCTGGGCTCAAGCGATCCTCCCACCTTAGCCTCCTGAGTAGCTGGGACAACAGGTGCACACCACTACCCCCAATTAATTTCTGAATGTTTTTTTGTAGAGACGTCTCACCCTGCTCAGGCTGGCCTTAAACTCCTATCATTTTTAACAGGCAGTAATGACACAATGTTGAAGGAGCTCAGATCCAGACAGCCCAGCCTTCACAGCTCTACCAACCACAAGCAATGCCAAGGCTGGAACCTGCACCCTCCCGCCATGCTATAAAGTGCCTTCACAGTTCTGAGACGCACACAGAACTCACGCTGCTGCAGCCACGGCCCCTTGCCCCCAGTCTTCTACACCAGTAGCAGACCTGGTTACTAAAATGCAATCCCAAGGCTGCAGCTGACACGAATAACGTCACATGGAGAGCGGTAGGTGCTACAGCGACACTGTCCGCCAAGTGCTCTCCCCAGTATGACAGAGCCCGAGGCTCCTGGCAGCAGGCCTTCCATCTGGCCACCCTAAAGACCTCCCAGGTCTCGCCCACAGGGGCCGTGTCAGTCCTACCCGTTGCCTTGCCGGGCCAGGTGGTAGACGATGGTGGCCGACGTCACTGTCTTCCCCGTGCCTGGCGGGCCCTGGATCAGGCTCAGCGGTCTTTGCAGCACAGTCTTCACGGCATAAACCTTCAATACAAGCGGCCGTTAGGGGCAGCCGCCGCTTGTGTCCCGGCCCACGGGCGAGGCCCCGCGCGCTGAGGACGGCGCACACCTGGGAGTGGTTGAGGTCGGGGAGGCCCTGCGCCGTGAAGCGCTTGGGCAGCTGGCACTTGATGATTACGTCCTCCACCTCATGGCCCAGCAGCTTGTGGTAGATGTAGCCGGACACTGAGGTCTCGTCCACGGCAAACGTTTTCAATGCACTCTGCATCCTGTGAGGAAGGTGTGGGGTTGGCTACACGCACAGTCATGGCCGCCTCACCAGCGTCCTGAGTCTGCAGACCTGGGTGGGGAGCCCCACTCCGCAGTGATGGGGAGGGCTCATAAAGATGCCACGGGTGGCAACCAGGGATCGGGGGGCCGCGACGGGAGGGGACGTACCTGTCAAAGGAGGTCGACTTCCACACAAAATCCACCTGGAAGTTGTGAGTCACCTCCACGGGTGCACCCACGCTGCTCCGCAGCTCAATGGCAATCTCATCGCCATAATCTGTGTGCTGAGTTAAGTTTGCATCCTTGTCAAAAGCCAGGCTGACCTTTCTGGGTCGCCCTTGGTACATACTCTTTAAATGGCGTTTTAAAATTTAGTTACTTAAGACACCACTGGTTCTGCACCAAATGCTAAAAACATGCAGCCAACACCAGACCAGAAACCAGAAGGACAGCGTCCTTGAGGACAGAATCTACCTCACCATGAGCCGGTGTCCCACCCCCAGCCAGCCTGAAGTTCCTCCTTGCCACCCCCGGGGCCATCTCCCGGCCACCCATCTAGGCCCCTTTCAGAGATGCAGAGGGCGGCAGCGAAGCCACCAGCGCTCACCAGCAGGGAGCAGCCACATCCCGGGCCCCAGAACCTCACCAGGAGCTCCTGCACATGTGGCCAGCAGGGGCAGGCAGAGTTCATGGAACCCAGCTTTGGCCATAGCAGCTCTTCTCACAGTTCCACGGAAACAACACTCCTCCCAGTACAGCCAAGCACCGGGCTCCGCATACACAAGCAACCTGCCCTCCAGGAGGCTGTGGCCGGTAGGCAACACCCTTCCCTCAACCCCGAGCCCCAAAACCAGTCTCACGTGTTTATGAGCTTGTCAGGCACAGGGTGGGTGTGGGACATGACTCTCTCTACCCCTGTGGAGGCCACCACTGAACGGTCAGGCCCCAGCAGCACTGGCCAGTCACCAAGAGGCCCGAGTCGGACCCGTGGTGTCTTCTCCGAGGACCCCTCCCCGCCCCAGGCCTCTGATTGCACCTGTGCCTTACAGCTGCTCCACCGTGGCCGGCAGGCTGCGTCACCATGAGGTTACTGCACATTCCCAAACGTGGCCTGGGAGCAAGTGAGTGCTCACAGGGTCTGCATGTGACCACTGGCTTCTGGAACCTCCGTGTGCAGAGTCAGCATCCAGGTAAGGCGCTCCTGCAGCCACATTAACCTCCAGAGTCAGCCCAGGGACGCGTCACACAAGCAGCATCACCAATATCACCATCATTCGGGCAGAGGGAAAGCAACCATACAACCAGCTGTCCCAGAAGGTGAAGGCCCTGCAATTCTCCTAAGAGCAGTGGAGGCCAGTGCCAGCCAGCAACTACCACAGAGCACGAGATGCTGGCCCAGGGACGAGCATCAAATCCACGGTGGCCTCCATCTGATGTCCCCCCACTTTCCTCTCCCACCAGCCAGCCCCACCCTCTTCACATGAAGGATACTATCAGGGACCTTGATGACGTGGCCGATCCCTTTCCACAGGGGCGCAAGGTCCCCTTTGTACCGCAGGCATATCTCATCCCCCTGCATGAGCCGCATGTCTTGCGGTAAGAAAGTGAGAGAGGTGGCCATTTTAACCTGCGCCGTCACTTCCACCAGGAAGAGTTCAAATTAAGGGGCACTTTACAAGGGTGGAACTAGGAATTTTATGCTACTTATGGTCACAAATATTTTAAAACTTAAAATCACCTCTTAACCAAATTATGACTAAATCCTCATTACCAGAGTCAGTCTTGGGCAAAGTGAAGTAGGCGATTCTCTTCTTGTTAAGGCCCAGGTCCCACCTGACCGTGATGTTATCTTGAGTCTGAGCACATGAAAAACAAGAGCCCCGGTTAGCCTCCAGCACATGCCCGGGCCTGGCCTCCACATGCCCCAGGCCCCATGAGGCGGGCCCTACAGCAAGCCTCTGCCGTGACAGCGGGCGCCGTGAGCAGCGCCTGACAGCCCCAAATGCCACCAAGGGCATATCTGAAAGAGAAGCCATTAGGAGTCCCCAGAACACACACAAGCCGATCCTGTCTGGAGGCTTCACCACACACCAGAGGCCTCCGTGGCCAGGGAGCAGCTGCTGCGGGAGGGAGGGAGAGAGAGAGGAGGGGAGGGAGAGAGAGAGGAGGGGAGGGAGAGAGAGAGGAGGAGGTGGGAGGGAGAGAGAGAGGGGGGGGGGAGGGAGAGAGAGAGGAGGGGAGGGAGAGAGAGAGGAGGGGAGGGAGGGAGGGGAGGTCAGAACTCCGGGGCTCCCGTTGCCTAAATGTGGTCTTCACAGGGATCATGCCCGAGTCTAACTCCTGCAGCTGTGGGCAAAGCTGTGGACCCCACTGGGAAAGATGTGTTGGATTTAAATAGAAAACACTGAGGCTGATGTCAGCTCTGAGGGCGGGGGCCCAGACCACCAGACTGCCAGGCCTGGATCCGCAAGCTCCAACTCTCAGGCGTTGCAGCTGCAGCCCACGTCAGCTCCCACAGCCTAGAGAGAAAACCTCCCTTTGGAAGCCTGAGGAAGAGAGCTGTGAGAGTCAGAGCCCAGCCCAGGCCAAGCCCTCCTGCACACATCACCTGGGACTCCTTCAGCTTCTTGTCGTAGTCGGCCTCCAGCTTGACCAGGGGCCCGAATATGTTCTGGTACTGGTAGGCGTCCTCATACCGCAGGAGGACGTGCTGCGGTTCCTCGTCCACCCCCGGCTTCTCCAGGTCCTCCAGCGTGGCAGAAGGGTTTTCCTAGAAGACAACAACACTCGTCCCGTTTTTCCCTACATGCAAACGAACGAGGGTGCAGAGGCACCAGAGGGATGGAGCACACATGCCGCTTCTGAGAATGGGCCACAGTGGGTGGCATGGAGGGGTTCTGGCGCATCTGCAAGGGAAAACCCTGGGAACAGGAACTCCATGCCACACTGGGAACTGCACACCGGCCTAGCCCGTGCTTGGGCCTCAGCTGCTGCTCCTCACCCCAGCAGGGTTCCGGTACTTGGGTGAACCTGCCTACAGAGCCCCAGGCACCAGCCTGACACACTGTCCACAGCAGAGGGCACCTTCAGAGCTGGCTGCTTCCTCCGAGCACGCCCGGCTTGTGAACGAGAGCAGCTAACCCTCCTCGCAGGCTGCCACAAAGACCACACTGGTTTATCTCACTGTGTCCACAGCCCGGGAAGCCCGTCTCCCACGTCTGCTAACCCTAAGCCAGAACCAACATGGGCCCGCAGCTCTTCCCCTGGGGGCCAGCTCCCTCGGTGAGTGCCATGCTGGTGGGGACAGGACATTATCTGGGCTGTTCAGATATAAACGGGAATCATGAAAATCATCTGGCAAACTGAAAATCCAAGTGGAAAGGTACTCGGCTGAACAATGCTTAAAAAATACTTTTTTTTTCCTGAGACGAGGAGTCTCGCTTGATCGAGCCCAGGGCTGGAGTGCAGTGGCCGCGATCTCGGTCACTGCAGAGGCTCTGCCTCCCGGGTTCACGCCATTCTCTCTGCGGCGTCAGCCCGAGTAGCTGGGACTACAGACACACCACCACGCCCGCGTAGTTTTGTTGTATTTTTTAGTAGAGCGGCGGTTTCACCGGTGTTAGCCATGGATGTCTCGATCTCCTGACCTGCGTGATCCGCCCGCCTCGGGGACTCCAATGACGTGCTGGGTTACAGGCTGAGGCTAGGCGCGCGGCGCGGGTGGCTCGAAGCCTGTAATCTCTCTGGCCTCTCTGGGACCGGCCCGAGGACGGGAGGATCACGAGAGGTTCAGGAGATCGAGGACCATCCTGGCTAACGCACGGTGAAACCGTCGATCTCTCACTAAAAAATACAAAAAAAACTAGCCGGGGCGAGGTGGCGGGCGCCTGTAGTCCCAGCTCTACCGGACTGAGGCAGGAGAATGGCGTAAACCCGGGAGGCGGTGCTTGCAGTGAGCTGAGATCTGGCCACTGCACTCCAGCACTGGGCGACAGAGCGAGACTCCGCCTCAAAAAACAAAAAAAAAAAAAATTTTAACTTGTACTTCAGTTCCTATGTGAGATTTCTGATTGAATGGGAGGCAAATGGAAGCTTCTAGTCTAGTTACTAGAATGACTTTATTACAAAATCCTAAACAGCCGGAACCAGAGAAAGGCTTCCGTGGGGAAAAGTGAGGGCTGTCTGTTGAGGGAGGCCAGGCACCCACTACTTGACCCAGCACCCTCTCCTCTCCCCTCTGCTCAGCTGACTGTGCCAACCTCGACCCCAACCTCTTTCCCCAGGACACTCTCGCAGTGCACCTGTCTGTGCAGGTCCAGGCTCTGCCAGACAAGTCTACCTACAACCAGCCCCATCCTTCCCCTACCACCCCCCATCAGACAAGAAAAATTCCAGCAGCCAGAGCTTTCCTTTCCCCAAGGTCAGGCTCTTCTTGGTCAGGTAAGGCTGCCTGGATGGAAGGTGACCAAGGTGCCCTGCCCTGGGGCCACTCCACATAGAGGTGGCAGAGGCCTGAGTTCCTTCCAGAGACTCTCCAGCGGTCTCACTGGGTCAAGCCGTCTCTGAAGATACTCCCCTCCCCGCAACCAGAAACCACAAGGCACGGGTCAGCCTGCTGGGCAGCCCCACCTTCCATAGCTCCTCCAGCTTGTTGATCTGCTGTGCCGTGATCTGGCGCGCCCGCAGCTGCTCCTGCTCGGAGGGAATCTTGACTAGCCAGGACAGGAAGCAGCGGTCCTGGATCAGTGGCTGCCACTGCGAGCTGTCCCAGTTGATGTCCTTGAGGCTGCTCTGGCTGGCACAGGGCTGCCTGTGGAGCGGGAGGGGACCGTGAGGACCAGCTCCCCTCTCTGAAGTCCTGGAGCAGGGAGGGCCCCCTCCCATGCTGACCTTTCACCCAAAGGGGCGTGCCCTGAGTTTTATTATGTGATCACATTACCTTTAAACTGTTAGTAATAAATCGCATCTCCCCGTGCACTTGAGCTCTGAACTCTTAAAACTCAGAACAGACTTTGTTTTTACAGAATTGTTTTCATGATTTAGCCAGAACGCCCCAAAAGAGTTACACGGCACTGCCAACTCCTTAACAAGCCTCAGCCCCTAAATGCTCTCATGCCTCACCCTTCAGCAAAAATCATCTTTGGAGCACAATTCCCTAGAATCAGAGCCACGGCTGGGCTGGACTGGGCTGGGATGGGCCAAGGCTTGTGAGGAGACGGCTGGAGCTTAAAGGTCACCCCCGGGAGACATCTGAGGACCGCTCACCTGCACAGCAGCACCACCACCGAGTCAGCTTTGGCTGGGATGAAGCCGAGGAGGAAGACATTGCGACAGCCGCAGTTGTAGCACTCCAGGACTGTCTCCCCCAGGGGCCCGTCCTTGTGCAGGGTCACCTCTTTGCATTTTGCCCTCACAAGGTGATTTACAATATGGCTGAAACCAGGAAATGATAAACGGTTAACACCCAGAGTTTGGCTTTTCACCACTTCCAATTTTCGGGCCCCTGTTAAAAGTTCCGGTACCGTTCACGGTCCATTAGCAGAGGCAGTCACACCTCATCCATCTGGCATCTCCGGGGACCAGCCCTCCCCCAAACTAGCTCCCCACTGAGCACAAAAATCAATCCCAACTTGAACCACTTTTAAGGAAAACTTCCTTAACACGGTTCACATAGTTCCTGCCTTTTTTAAAGATCCTGCTTTCTTAAATCCAACTTATCAGGCCTAATTTAACCCATTGTTGGCCCAGGGCTGCTGTGGGGTCCGAGACATTTCCCACAAGGCCTTGGCCCCTTCTCTCCAAGGTCACCCCCCGCTGCCGCCACTTTTTGTGGCTTCTTCTGAAATCACTCCTCAGAGGCCCTGTGCCTACTTCTAGAAGAAACAGTCCCTCCTGCTTTGCTGCAGGCCGGGAAATCTGGTAAGCAGGCGGCTGGAAACCCTGTAAAAAGCAGTAAAAGAGCTGAGCAGAGACGGGGGCTGTTCTGCAAAAGCCCAGGGCTGTGTCTGAAGCCCTGGCTGGCTCGGCTCCTTCCTTGCTGCGATATGGCCAGGACACTGTTCGCCTAAACCGCGATCTGGGCTGAACCCTGCCCTGCGCCAAGCCAGTCACCTTCCAGAGCCTATCTGCCGTATCTAACAAGGATGCCCAGCTGCTCTGCCTTTGGGCTCTTCCAGTGTCTCCAGCAGCTCTGAACACGCCTGCAGGGCCTCCCAGCCTCCCTCACTGTGCTCTCTCTCTTCCCCTCTGGAAAACCATTCCTGCCAAAAGCTTCAGCTCAGCTAACCTAACCTTTCTCCCTGCCACGAGGCCCAGGATTCTCTAACCGGCCATGGCCGCTCTGGGCATCCCCAAAGCCCGACTCCACTCTGGAGCCCTGCCGGCCACGTGGGCAGAATCAGCCGTCTCCGTGTCTTCCCACGCATCCTCACCCTGTCACAGCCAAGCTCCCTGAGGGCCGGCGGCTGCTTCCTCACCTTCCCCTGGGCCTCGAACAGAACGCTCAGGGGTGCTTGGCTCGAGCCTGCTGTTTCTCAGAGGCCCTTTTGCTCACTTCCCTGTTCTTGGCTATGCTGACCGGAAGCTGGGGTTGCCAGCTAAGAGAAGTTTTATTTAGTTGCTTTTCCTGCACAAGAGGAACTAAATGCAAACATAGCAACACTTAAATTACCCAGAAGATTCTGAAAATGGGACAAGAATGTCTTTTGGTTATCCAGAAGATACTTTTCTTTAAAAATCTTTTAAAAACAGCAGCCCCTTTCTCACCTTGCTCATAACACCATATTTCAAGTTACTAACTCAGAGATGCCACGAGATCTGACTGCTCCATCTGTAACCCTCCGAGACCCACAGCTGCCAAAGGCACAGGAGGGGGTTGGTGTCAGCGCAAGTAAGCCTGCCTCTGGGCTTTGGTCATTTTCTTTCTCCAGAATGTGAACCTCAGAAAAAGACCCCATTTCCTTGCTGGCACCTCAGAGCTCCGCCTCCCAGGCTCTGCTCCATCCTCTCCGGCAGTGGAGTGACCTGCACACAGCAGCGCGGAGGGAAGGGGAGCCGCTGGCATGGGACCCACCAGGACGAGAATCCCACCACCCAGGCAAGACCACCGAACTCCCCCCTGGAATCTGGGCACCGAGAGAACACTGGTCCCGTCCCAAACACAAAACAAGCGACCCAGTCCAGCTGCAGCTGATCAACATCAGGAAGGCAAGCCCAGCGCCGACGGTCAAGTGAACTTAATTGAAGCCGATGATTCAGGATCTGGCCTGAATTAGCCTCCGGACAGCTCCGATGAGCTCAGGCCAGAGCGAGCCTGCTCAGGAACCAGCGCCCCTGGATGCCCGTTACTGCCTTGGGAACATCCTTCCGTTAATGAAGATCAGCGGGTGTGCCAAGAGCTCATCTTGCAGAAAAATCGAAATAAAAACTGGGAAGGAGAATTAAGCCAACCCTACTTGCATAATAAAAAGAGCCACAGAGAATAAATCAAGGGTAAATACATTAAGGCATTCACACACCACCATCTGTTTCAAGTTAAACCAGTCACAGAGGAGGAAAAAAACCAGGTTTGTTAGCGTGATTTTATATTGCACTTCGCTTCAACATTTCCATAATTTACACACAAATCTGAGCACAGCACTGATTAAAGACACATGCATAGTTTGATTATCTACCTGCCAGAAGTATTTCCACGTCCGTTGCAGAACCACTTCTTGCTGGTATTACAGTAAACCACGCAGGCAGGATCGTGTATTCCACAGTAACTAAAAAATCAAAACAGCGACAGTTACAGCTGGAAGCTTGCTCTCTGGTCTTCATTTGGCAAGATGTAAAATTCTTTCCTCTGACAACACTTTTAAGTTCTTCATTAAACACATACTCAACCCCAACAATCCCAGTAACCAAATCAAACCAGTTAACCAGGGCTTCCCAAACCCAAGAATGCAGGGAAGGGGTTGGTATGTGGGAGAAGCTCCGAGGGGATGAGGAACAAAGCCACCTCCAAGGAGAGTCCTGCTGGAGGGAGGCCTCACTCCTCCAGGGACATTCTAGTCCCCGCTCTCTGGCCTGAAATTCAGGAACCCAGCCACAGTCACAGTGGTCATGGTGAGCTGCGGGCTCCAGCAGAGGGCACTGTGCTCCCGGGAAGCTGGGCACAGACCCTGTAGCGGCAGCGCCCTGAAGCTCAGGCCCCAAAGCCCAAGCGAGGAGCCTCAGGAGAGCCTCACCCGACCGCTGGCTGTGGTCTTCTGAAAATCCACATACCAAACCCCAAACTGCTAGCTCCCCAGAGCCACATCAGGACTTATGGGCATCTCTGTGTGTTAAGAGAACACGATTACATACATGAAAGCATCTGTAAATGAGAATGAGCGAAGAGCTGAGATGCAGGAAAGAGCGCCTGCCCACCAAGCCTA